CTCCCCATCTCCCTTTCCCCTAAGAACGGTATATAACCATCTGGATTTGCATGGTGGGGTGATCACTCTGTGATTTTCTCCATGTGCGTGGTAATAAATTTGTATGCCAGTTTTCCTATTAATCTACCTTTTGTGAGCTTATTTCTTAACAAATCTTCAGAGGGCAAAGGAGAAGTTTTTCCGTGGCCCCTACAATCCACTCCCCAAGCCCTTTTTACAGCAGCATTAATCCCATCATGAGGATGGCGCCCTCATGACCTAAGCACCTATGAGGCCCTACCTCCTAACACTGTTGCACTGGGGATTAGGTTTCCAACACACAGATTTTGGTGAGGATAAAAATATTCAACCATAGTACTAAATCTTGTGTATTTTCTGAGCATGCATCTCACTTGGGTCTAGGTGGCCTTTTCGAGTCCCCCGTATACATGGCTGCTTTCATGTCTTAATTTCTCAGTCTCAGCCCAGCTTCTCCTTGAGGCCTTAGATGGTCTGTTGTGTGTCTCCACCTGCCATGTCTTCCCTCAGGCGTCTGCAGGTCTCGTCTTCCTGTAGCTTTTGTAAGCGGTGCCTACCACTTTCCACTGTGCCCCCATCCCCTGCACCCTTCTGAGCTCCAGTTGGGGGAACTAGAAACTAGCCCGTCAGACAGCCCCCCGACAAGTTAGAGCACTGCAGATAAGGCTCAAGGTTTGCTCTGCTCCCTCCAGTTTGAGGGAGGATTTGGGAACTGCACTGTTACTTCCTCCAGACCAAGAATGTGGCATGCTTGGAGGTGGTAGAGCAAGGTAAGCAAATATGCCACAAACTTTCCAACTGCTTTGAATATGGCTTTTTCTTGACTGGCGGCTCATTTGGATACTGTCAATATTTCACTGTTTTCCTGAGCTCCCACAACGCTTTAGCCAGAGTTTGGTTGTTTTTGGTATCTCCATGGGGGAAAAAGAGTTGAGTCTCCTGGTGTCCCATTCTGCTTATGTCACTGTATCCAGATTTTTTCTTAATGCCATGGGAAGCCTTTCTGTTTTTGAGTTGAGGATGTGATAGAGAGTATTTCAGGGATATTAAGAATGGGCAGGGTCCATAATGGATTAGAGAAGAAACAGTGGTGGTATCAATTAAACTGTCTTCTCCCGTGGGCTATATGCAATTTGAGGTTTGACTTTGTGGTCCAAGTATACAGCACTGAGCATGGCACATACTGTGTGCTTTGTTGATGAGGACACCCAAAATTGTAGTAGTGACTGAACCGAGAATTCTCAAGGTAGCCCCACACTGCACGGTGGGGCAGGACTAAGTACACGCCATGAGACTTTTGCATCATGCTGGAGGGCTGCACCCCCACCGGGATTTGGTAAGCCAGCTCTTAAAGCATCCATGGAAAGAGCCCAAATCATGTGCAGAAAAGTAGGCCACACTGAGGACCTTGTGAGGAAAGCTCTTCTCCTGACTCTAGAACCTTCTGTAAATGAGGTGTCAACAAATTATAGTTTGCTGCCCAATTTTTGTGAATAAAGTTTTACTGGAACACAAACTCATCTGTTTATGTACTGTATATGGTTGCTTTGTGCTGTAACAGCAATCATATGATCTGCAAAACCTACATTTGCTATCTGGTCCTTTACAGAGAGTTTGCTGACTCCTGATCTAAACTAACTATGAGGAGTTGGGCATGGTGGTGTACACCTGTAATCCCAGCAGCTTGGGAGGCTGAGGCAGGTGGATTGCTTGAGGCCAGGAGTTCAAGACCAACATGGGCAATATAGTGAGACCCTGTCTCTATAAATAACTTTTAAAAATTAGCCAGGCATGGTGGTGTGCACCTGTAGTCCCAGCTACTCAGGGACACTGATCGTCTACTCTTGGTGCTCCTAGTTCTCAGGCCTTCAGACCCAGACTGAAATCCAAGTCATTGGCTCTCCAACTCTTAGGCCTTCAAATTATACCACAGGCTTTCCTGGGTCTCCAGCTTGCAGACTTCCCAGCCTCTATAATCATGTGAGCCGTAACTTATAATAAATCTCTTCCTAGAGATATATGGAAACCCTAATACTCACTTTTCACTACTATAAATTTCACTGCTATAAATTCTTGAGAGCAAGTATGGCTACACAATAGATTAGGGAAATGACACCTATTATTTCATGAATGAGCCCTGAATAAACAGGAAGTCCTCTAAGGTGGCAGTGGGTCATAATGTAACTTTTAAGCAAAAGAGGCAAGGAAAATTTTTCAGTAAACTTCAAATTGGGTGTCTATTTAATTTTTCAAGAGTTTAGTAGTACCCTTCTAAAAAATTTCTCCATGTTAAAAACCAGAGGTTTTCCCACCAAGAAGTCCCCAAACACATGTCTACTCTTTACCCTTAGCTGCTGGTGAACTAAGACTACAAAAGTCAGGAATAATAAAGGAAGGCTATGTTAACAGGAAAAAAACCCAAACTCTTTAAAATAATTTAAAGAGGCTTATTCGGAGCCAAATATGTGTGACCACACCCTGGGAAGCCATGCCCAAGAAGGCTTGAGCAATTGGTCTCAAGGCAGTAGGGCTATGGTTTGGTTCTATACATTTTAGGGAGACAGGAATTGCAGGTAACTACACTGGTTTGGCCTGAAAATGTGGGACATCTAGAAGTGGGGGCTTACAGGTTACAGGTGGGTTCAAAGATTCTTTGATTTGAAATTGGTTAAAGAAATAAAACTTTGTCTAAAAGCCTGGAATATTTTAAGTTAAGATAAGGAAATGTTAATCAGTGACAAGTCACAGTATATTGACTCTGCCTGCAGGTGTGATTTAGCCTTTGCCTTGCATGGCCTTAAGTCCTGTTAATAATTTAGTATCTTATTGTCATAAAGAGTCTGTTTTGTCAGTCTTATGATCTCTGTTTTAAGATTAAAGCTGGTCAATTGTACCTTAAACTCCAAAAAGGAGGAGGTGTAACAAGGCATGTCTGACTTCCCTTCCCTTCATGGCCAGGAACTCAATTTTTTTTGGAGGGGTCCTCTTGGCTAAGAGAGGATCCATTCAGTCAGTGGGGGCTTAGGATTTTATTTTAGTTCACAGCTGGTAGATGTAAAGATACAACACCCAGCTATAATCAATGGGCCAGATGCTGGTGCAAGTTCTCAAAACTGTCTTCTTCACATGCTCCAGAGCCTGCACCAGCCCCTCTCAGGGCTGTCTCTCCTGGAAGGTAAGAGTGACAAGACTGGGCCTCACCTCTGTGTGTGGGACATAATTAAACTGTCGACTCCAAGGACAACATGCAAACAAATACACTTGTTTTCTTTTTAAGGAATAAAACAGTCACATGGTCAAAAATTAAAACCATATAGGATATAAAATGAAAAGCAAAGCTCCCAGACTCCCAGTTCTCACCCCCAGATGTGATCGTGGTTAAGTTTTTTGTGTAAATTATGACTTCTTTTTTCTGAAATGTTTTGCTATTAATGTGATAGGAATATTACACAGAACATACGCTTCTTATAAAGGTTATGTCTTCCAGAGCCTGGTTTAATCAAAAACTGCGGCTAAATTCAGGTCCCAAATACAGAAGCTTAAAATGTTCTTGAAATCCAATAAAAATTTTAGGTCTAAATAGCCAACCTTTTAAAAAAAAAAAAATCACATAATTTAGCCTAAGTCAGATTTTACTTTATTTCTCTACCCATGACAATACAAACTCTTCAAAGATTTGTAAGATGTCACAGGTTGACAATCACCTGGAAACAAATTTATTATTACTTAGACGAAGCCTTAAATCCATCAAGAAATACCACCTAACACACTTAAAAAGAAATGGCATATGGGCCAGGCGTGGTGGCTCACGCCTGTAATCCTAGCACTCTGGGAGGCTGAGGCAGGCAGATTTCTTAAGGTTGGGAGTTCGAAACCAGCCTGAGTGAGACCCTGTCTCTACTAAAAATAGAAAGAAATTAATTGACCAACTAAAAATATATATACAAAAGAAAAAAATTAGCCGGGCATGGTGGCGCATGCCTGTAGTTCCTGCTACTTGGGAGGCTAAGGCAGCAGGATCGCTTGAGCCCAGGAGATTGAGGTTGCTGTGAGCTAGGCTGACGCCATGGCACTCACTCTAGCCTGAGCAAAAAAGTGAGACTCTGTCTCAAAAAAAAAAGAAATGGCATACAAATAAGATAGGCACTTGTGTGCCCGGACAAATAAATCAACAGCTCCTGGTCAAATTCCCAATAATGGAGGGAGTTAAAAAGACAATCTGTTACTTTCAATGTTCCCTGTAAACATATTTCAGCTGACCCTTGGATGATAAAGTTAAGATGAATATAACTGCAATTAATTGTTTGGGAGCTGGGGTGGTAGGAGTTGCAACAGCGTGAAAAGTTATCCAATTAACAATAGCACTGAAAATGTGTAGTCTTACAAAATGAGTACCAATTTGAAAAAACTAATGTCTATGGGCATTTTCTTTGCCCAAACAGAGAGTAGAGTGAATATGGTAAATCTGATTTTTAACAATATTCCTGGGACCTAAAGAAACCACATGCCTGGAGCAACTAAACTTTCCAAAGCCTGAATATTAAAAAGGTCTTCACATGGTAATCATCTTAATATTTTTCAATTAAAAAACTAATGCAACAGCCAGCAAATTCAAATTCTTATTAATCAACCTCTAGTTCTTACATATTCTGTCCATGGAAAGAGCTACATAACTGTGCCCTCTTTACAGATGCAAATGATTTGCCCATTGTGGAAATGAGGCTCACCTCCTGTCAATAGCCAGCACCAGCTCTGGGCTGCTGTCTCAGGAAAGGAAACTGAAGGTGGTCAGAAAGGCAGACAATACTGCATTTCTGTTGCCACTCATTCAGACTGGGGTGCCTCTTTTCAACTGGAACGAGCTGGTCCCTAACATTTAAGACTAAATAGGGCACTGGTAAACAAAGCCTATGCCAGGAGAGGAAAAGGGCCTTCAGAGCTGTTGAAGAATTGGCCAGGCCTGCCTTTTCTTATCTCTGCTGTTCTCGAGGAAATTCCTCTAAGATAAGGCAAGATAAGGCAACACCAGTGGCTCATTGTAACCTAGAGCAACTATTTGCTGCTCTGGGAGTTTTCGGTCATCTAACCAGGTTCTCATAATTCAGCTCTCATCCCAACAGCTCTGAGCCTCTGCCTGGGAAGTTCCTAGGGAAGCAGATGAAACTAATTAGGACACAGCCTTTCAAAGGAAACTCAAGCATTTTACCCGCTGTGTACAGAGACCTCACTGTAACTGTGGCAAAGGCCATGGAGGAAATATTTCTACCACAGAGGGTCCACAGTCATTGTCTTCTGCTCTTTAGCTCTCTGCCCTGACAACCTTCACCTGTCTTCACCATGTTTCTTTTCCCTGAGGCATAAATATTTCTTTTCAGCTTGTTTTTGAGAAAGGCTTATTTTTGGGATTTACCCAACTAACCATGAAATTGGGCCTGTTGGGATAGAGGCTAAAAATCAAATAAACAATCCTCTCAACGTGCAGGAAATGGCTGCTGGGCCTTTGGTCTTCACGAATGCCTGGGCCAGCTCTGCACTCCTCTATGCCGGGTCCTCTTCATCCATGGCCACGTCATTGTTGATATTTTTCTTTTGCTCAGCCTCCGGCCCCGCGGGCAGAATGCTTGTGACAGTGTGGAGAAGAGCTTCGATCTGCTCCTCTGTGAGCCGTTCTTCACTCTCTTCTACCATCTGCAGAAGAAAAGAAAACCCTCCCAGGGGTTACAAATGAGTGTCACAGCCCTTGTCCATCCTGGCCCTCGCTGCTCCTGTTGTTCACGGTCCCACCCCAGCCTCCGGACACACAGATCTGGGTCCTGAGCCGCCCCAGGTCCTTCCCATCTTCCAGATGAAAGGGTGAAGCCAATTCAAACCCTGCTGAGCCAGTGTGCCTGCTCAAAGTGGGTCAGTGAAAAAACTGAGTTGCAGGATAGCATTTTTCTTTAAAAAAAGCCCTAACAGTTCTATACCCACCCACATACATATGCAGATGTGACTATGTTGTATATGCAAAGAAAACTCACCTCTGGGAAATGAAATGGCACTTAAACTTCTGTATTTCACAACAAGCACATCTGTAACTTAATGAACTGTATCAACAACTCATTTGATGACCACCCAGTATGTGCCAAATGGCTTATATCCTTCTAATCCTCACTACCACTAATAACAGCCCTACAGAGAGGGCCTCCCATGTGCCTGGGGCTGCATCTTGTGGTCTATGTCCATGACTTCTTTTAACCGTTGTGACAATCTTGGCAAGTGGCAGAACTGGAATCCCAAGCCAGGTCTGCCCAAGTCTAAAGCCCACAATGCAACATGCTCCATGTGGCGTCGGTCATCTCCTGGGAGTACAGAACAGGAGTCTGACGAATGCCGGCTGGGAAACAATGCCACACTGCACCCTCAACGGTCCACATAAAGCCTGGTTTCTGACATGGTCCCAGAAATCTGAATGCAGAGATGACACCCACAATCACGAGTTTCACCTCTAATTCTAGATCATGTAGTCAGCCACCTTTTTCAGAGCAGTATGCAGGCAGTCAAGTTATCTAACTATGTTCACTTGGTGATATTAACCATCTATCACAAATACCTTTCTCAGCTACAGGTGTGTGGGGCCTTAGTCTATGGCATTTCCCATGGTAATCTCTGAAATCTGGCAAATGGAACCAAAAGAAGTTCTGAAAGAAATCCTTGACAATTTAAGTAAAACAAGATGACAGGCTAGGTTTACAACCCTGAAAAGGCCCTCAGTCTGACTGCCTCGCTTTACAGACAATAATACAGAGGTTTAAGAAGTCAAGTGGTAAGTCTGATGTCTTACCGCAAACTCCTGACAAAACATTGGCCTCCTCATTCACTCCAGCCCAAAAATGTTTTCACAACTAGATAATGATCCTGGGTGTTCCAGGATAGGGAAGATCCCAAGTGAGTCAATGGGGGTTACTTTCCATTATGCTGTGAAATAAAATGACCCGTTTCTAAAGATTCAATGGCTCTGTAAAATGTAAATTCTCTACTGAACAAGAAACCATCCTCAAAAATCCAGTTTTAAAATCAGACATGCAAAGTCAGGCTCTGTAAAAAGCAGTAATCTAACATAGACGGCCCCCAAAGAACACAGGAGGAAGAAGGTAAATATCTGAAATTTTATTAATACAGAGATGATCTATCTCCACTTAAGAAAAGAATGTCTATAGGTTTATGAATAATCAGTATATGCAGCTAATAGACAACCTCCCACCAGTATTTGTGTAGTGCTCCAAAGTTTGTGAGGGGATTTCTGGAATCACTGCGACCAGAGCTTCTCAAGAGCCCACTACATAAAGCCAGAACAATTTAGAGATGAGTAAGTGGAGGTTAAGCATTCTAAGGAGAACATAGTCCCATAGGAAGTGGAGACAAGGTCTTCCGACTTGGAATCCCAGCTCCTAGAACACCATGCCTTCCAATAGGAGGTTTCTATCATTTCCTCTCCCAAAGATGCTGTATGGCAGCTAGAGTCCACTGGTTTGAGAGTTTGGTTGTGTGACCTCTGAGGAGCCTTCTTAGAAAACCAGAGAGGACACCTTGCACCCTAATCTGGGTCTGGCAGTTGCAACACTGACCAAGTGTCAGCTAGGTGTATTCTTAGCAATAGGTTCTATAATTCAAGATGTTTTATAATCACTAAATTACTAACAGGCATAGATAAATGTCAGTATCGTTCAGGACAGTGGTGGTGAGGTCACAGGGTTCGCTGACCTGTCTTGAGGCCAGAGGGCTCACAAATAGTTCTAAAGGAATACCCAACCGGGCATGCCAGAAGCCACACGCCAGGTAGCCAGCGTCCTACCACACAGACCCCCTGAATCAGCAGCCAGTCACCAGAGGATCGCAACAAATCATAACTGAGGCACAACCATAGAGGTAATGCTTTGGTCTCCAAAAGATACCTGGCTCCCAACCAGATACCAACAAATGCTGCATGCTGGGACTGCTTTCTGGACTCACAGAGAATAAATGGCTATGAGGTTAACACAGGGAACTTTTCAAGTGCTTTGCAAGAGAGGGAATCTTGCTATTAACCTTGGTAAATAATTTTGTAGCCAAATCACAGGGTGTGAAAAATCTGGCAATAAAATGGTCCAACTGCAGAAAAACAATATAATTTTTTTTTTTTTAATCAAGGACTACCTACTTTGTAGAAAGGAAGAGAACAATCTAAGGGGATACCACACATCTTTCTTCTGACCAAGGGAAAAGTACATGGCTTCGTGGTACAAAGTAAAGCTTCTGAATCAGATACACCCAAATCAGCCACTCACTAGCCTTCTGGGCTAACATGGAGAGAACACCTGCCCTCCTCCAAGACCATGGTGACGGCATCAAAAGTTACACAGGCAATGACTGGCACCACGACCAGTGCCTGAGACCATGTCTGGCATAAGTAGGCACTCTTAATAGCAGCTCATCTTCCCAAGTAATGATAGAGCTTTCTACAGGCTCCGGGATGAGGTCACACTAATCCTCCTCATCTCTTCTCTCCATCTGTCATTAAGCCACGGATAACATATGCTGCTGATTAAAGTTGGAGGAAACATGACATGAGATCTCTAACCCAGAGGGACAGGCATTAGTTTCTTGCTGTTTTGTTTGTTTTTTTCTTTCCTCTAAGTTGAATCTCCAGCACAGTGTAAAGCATCAGAATGATGAGAATATACATTTAAAAAAAAAAAAGGATTTCTATTTAGCCTAAAGGCCAGTCAGTTTCCCCAGAAAAGCACCCTTTATGGAAGAAATTTTTCTAATTTAATTTTGGGTGCATTTTGAAGGGCAGAAACAACTCTAGGAAGACAATGACCGTTTTAGTCAAAAATTATATATCCCATGAGCCTTTAAAAAGTTTTGGTTTTTTTTATTTGAGACAAAGTCTCACTTTGTTGCCCAGGCTAGAGTGAGTGCCGTGGCGTTAGCCTAGTTCACAGCAACCTCAAACTCTTGGGCTCAAGCAATCCTGCTGTCTCAGCCTCCCGAGTAGCTGGGACTACTGGCATGCGTCACCATGCCCGACTAATTTTTTCTACATATATTAGTTGGCCAATTAATTTCTTTCTATTTGTAGTAGAGACAGGGTCTTGCTCTTGCTCAGGCTGGTTTCGAACTCCTGACCTTGAGCAATCCGCCCACCTCAGCCTCCCAGAGAGCTAGGATTACAGGTGTGAGCCACCGTACGTGACCTAAAAAGTTTTTTATAAGCCAATTCTAAAGATCATAGGTATTTCTGACCAATTTCTTCCATATATTTCTAAAGGAAATTTGACAAAGAGCTAAATATTTCTAAAATGGACTTTGGAAACAGCTTTATTTTCATTTTATTAATTCTCCAGACAAAATTTTTTTAACTGCCATTTAGATGGCCTGCTTAATATTTGTAGCTCACTGATGGTCTCTGCCCTGTAAAAAGAAGGAAACTGCCATGGTGTGCCAATATGGTAGCCAATTTGTATGCTTGGATCTCATTTTTACATTCCCCTTGCACCATCTTAGGCCTTTTACTCCAGCTGCCTTCCGCAATTCTAAAACAATATGCTGTGATTGCAACATGGATTTTAAAAATGATGGGGTTCCACAACATGGTTTTATGCAGGGAACCTGGATGATCACATCTGTGGTTTGGAGGTGAACTATGACAGTGGTGTGGACAGTGGACTGGAGGGGCCAGACTGGAGGCAGAAAGAATGGTCAGAGGACAACGGTAAAAGCTGTGTGGAGAAATGATGACAGAAATTAAAGCAGTGCAGTAGAGAGAGAAGAAAGAATACAAGATAGAAAGAACAGAATTTGGAGCCTGAGTATGAGATAAAAGAAGAGAATGACTTCCAGGTTTCTGGCATGGGAGACCAGGCCAGGAGGGTGTGAGAGGAAGAACGTGTGGGAAAGTGCACACATGCTCCCTTCACGAAGAAAGGGGGAAAAGGAAGAGCAGGGTGAAGGGTGGGAGTGTGGGAGATAAGTTGCACCAGAGACACGTTGAGTTTAATGTTTTTATGTAACATCTGGTTGGCAACAACACCTCCTGGGAAGCAATGGCCAGAATGGCCCAGGACATCAGGGGAGACAAGAGCTGCCAAGTCACAGGCCCAAACGCTGTGGGAAGAATTAAATTTCCTCCAGTCTTTTACTTCCCCTAAGTCCATGCTAACTAGGATCAAATTGGTGAAGTCTTTCTCTTAAACAATGGGGAAGCTGAGCAGGCTCCTCATAATAGGGCAGTTCCTGGCTTGACCATCCCCAGCCTTGCTACATCTTAGCTCCAGAAAATAGCCCCTCAAGTTCAGGTGTCCTTTACTCACCAGCTGGATCTCAACAGCAGTCATGGGCCTGTGATTCAACAGCTGAAGCTTTTCAGCTCTGTCAAAAGAAAAGTACAAAGCATTTAAAGCTCCCACACCCCTAAGGATCTCAAGTCTTGACTAAGCTGTTTAGAGAATATTTTATCAAATTAAAAAAAAAAAAGGAAAGCTAGGTGCAGTGGCTCACGCCTGTAATGCTAGCACTTTGGGAGGCTGAGGCAAGAGGATCACTTGAGGTCAGGAGTTCAAGACCAGCCTAGGCAAAAGTGAGACCCCATCTCTAAAAAAAAAAAATACAGAAATTAGCCAGGCATGGTGGGAGCGCTTGTAGTCCCAGTTACTTGAGAGGCTGAGGTAGGAGGATTGCTTGAGCCCAGGAGTTTGAGGTTGCTGTGAGCTAGGCTGATGCCACTGCACTCTAGCCAGGGTGACAGAGTGAGAACCTGTCTCAAAAACAAACAAACAAAAAAATGGAGAACCACTGGAACATAGTCCTCAGTTTCTTCAACTGTAAAACGAGAGAATGGAAACAGGAGAATGTATGTCAGTGACTCTTACCCAAGGGTACAGATGTATCAGAATCCTAAAGGGTATAGAGGCATGCTTGTAAGAAATGGAGCAGCAGTAGAGATGCAGTTTTAAACTTATTTGACATTGACACAGTACTTTTTATTTGGGAAATACAAAGAAAATAATGTTTTCTCAATCTAACTTATATAGAGTAAAGATTTACAAAAATCACCTTGGTTGCTTGGTCATTGCTTAGAAATGAGTGAATTCCTCTTTGAGATTAAGATTAAATGTTACCCAGGTTTGACTTGTTATCTCAGGAAAGGAAACGGACTAAAGGGGCAGGAGTTAATACACGGAAGCACAAGGTCCAGTCCCTAGCCTCAAGAAGCTTTCAATCAGCTAGGGAAAGAAGACAAATGCAGATTTTCACAACAAAAGATTTAAGTGACAATTAAACATAATAATGATCTGTCACAAAGAAACATATAGCTCATTGCTGAGAGGGTGCTTGAAATGTGTGGACCCTAAAAGATAAGACTTCAAAGGTAAGGGAATGACTCCAATCATTACCCCTGTGCAAGTGACAAATTCTAAATTTCTCTCTCAGTCTTACTCTGGAGCTCCAGATCCATCTTTCAATTCAGTTCAGTAAGTTTAAAGACATTCTGGAATAAAAAGATAAATAAGCCACCATTCCCACAGCCTTGTGTTTGGAGAAGCAGTACCCAGTTTCCCTAAGCCTCAGTTTCATCATCTGCAAAACAGGAATAATAACAGTACTTACTATCTCATTAAGACGACTATGAGGGATGAAAATCTACCATTTATAGTGGCAGAAGCTACCGTTTATTTAATATTACATGCCTGCCACGTGGAAAGCATATTTAACCCTCAGACTTAGCTCATGCTGAGTTAGTAAATAACTTATCCAAGGTAACAAAGCTAGAAAATGGCAGAACTGGAGCTCCGGCCATGACAGCTCATGTTCTTGACCATCTGCTTCTGGTATATATGTGATAACAGAAGGGAAGTGATGTCTGTCCCACAACTGTTTCTTCATAAACAATAGTCATTGCTAAGGCAGTTGTAGTCAAATTCTACATCTCATAATTCCCTAAACATTTACTCTAGACTTGAAAAGGGAGACTTCATTGAGGTGACCCTTGTTCTGGGCCACGAAGGATTTTCTAGGGAACAGGAATGGTAGGAATGGGCAGTCAGGGCACGAACAACACAAGTAAACACCTGGAGGAACAAAAGTTCATGGAGTTTCAGGAAATAGAGAGGTGTGGGATGCGAGGTGGAAGAGCCATCTGGGACAAGAGTAAAGGGCCCCATCAAGAGGCTGGATGTTACTTTGTAGATGGCAGAGAGCAACCAAGGAAAAGAGTGAGCTCGGGCTGGTACTGCTAGCAATTCTGGAATATCTGAGAAAATGTAGGCAGCAACAAGTGAGGAAACCACTGTAATGATCCCAGGTGAGAGAAAAAAGGTTGTGAGGTTGGGCGGGGGCAGGAGGGATGGCAATAAGAGCCTGGACATGTGAAATGCTCCCAGCCACCCTCAGATAAAGTCAACAGGACCTTGCAACTACCTAATTTGGGTGGGGGTGAAGTGGAGTGAAGGAACAGATAGTGTCGATGTTAGCTTGAGCATTTAGAAAAAACACATTATTCAAAATCAAGTTTCAGTTTGTGGTACTTTTGTAACTATGAAGAGGTTTCTGTTAAAAAAGACTGTCTAGTATGAGTTCTAATTTGGTCTAGAACTAAAGAAAAAAAACAAAGCTAGATTTATTTGCAAAGACTTATGTGAAACTATGGACTCGATATTGTATCCCAGAGACCAACTGCAGAGTCAGTGAAGACCCACGACAGAACACTATAAAGCACCTCCATTTAAGGGGCCAGGAGAATGGGTGGAGAAGGAGCAAAGAGAGAAAAGAAAAGAATAGTGTTACGGAAACCAAGAGAGGAAAAATTTCAGGACAGAGGTCTTGTGTTATTGCACTGGCTATGACATGAAAAGCACAAAAGATTTGGGAGGAGGGGAGGGAAGAAAAGTAGGTTGATAGTGTAGAAGTCACTGGATTTGCCAAAGAAGTCACTGGTGGCCTATGCAGGCAGTTCAGTGGGATGACACCTGGACTGTGGGTGACTGTGGAGCACACCAGCTCTGGAGGGAGAGTGAAGAATGTCTGCTGGCTGGGGAGACAAGCATGTAGAGAGGCTGAAAGTACAGAAGGAAAAGGAAAGACTCTCAGAAACCGTGGTCCAAAGTTCCAATGAAGGGGCTCATGTTCCACTGAGACCACAGCCATGAGGGCAGAAAAAGCAAATTTGAGAGGATTTGAAGGGAGACGAGTTCATTCTGGACAGTTTTCTCGGTGAAGCAGAAGTGAAGTTAGCATTGGAGGGGTCTCCATGTGAAGAGGGCTATTTGGCAAGGAGGGGACTAAGTAAAACTCAGACCCTCCCACACCCTATGCTCCAGTCCACAGTGTGTGTGGTGGGGACACAAACGCTCCTCGCTGGCTTCATGACTGAGCCTGTTTTATTGTCTCTGCCTTTTCCCCTGGCTTCTCAACTCCTGTCCCAAGTGACCAACAAAACTGTTCTTGCTAAAGGGCCCAGTGCCCTCCACATGGACACTAGTGGATGCTTCGCTGTCAGATTCTACCCTGTCTCTGTGGTATCTGAAATCTGGTTTTTGTCAGTCTTTCTAGCTTCATACGGCTTTACTTTCCCTAAGCACCCATATCTCAAGCGGAACTGCAAATGCTATACAGAAAAGTATCAGGCTACTTCCTGATTCTGGGCCTTACTTAGCACACAGTGTTTTCTGATGCTTCGGTGTCTCTCCACCATGTCCCTGCTACCATAGCACTTATGCTATGTTCATCTTTGCATCCCCAACAACTGAGGCAAAGCTAGCACAAGATAAATGTGATCTGGAGGATAAATTAAAGAGCTAGGAAAGCCCTGACATCCAGAAGTTCCTGGGACAAACAAGTGAAGAACTCTGGGGAGACATGGGGCAGGCAGGGTAACCAGACCCTAGATACTAGAGAACTCTGACAACCTATCCATCTACTGAGCTTTGCTGGTCCCAGAGGCACATGTCCTAAATATGGCATCAAATATCAAGAGTGATCTATACACAGAAGAATTCCATTAGGGACTTCGAGTTATTTACAAACCCACCTAGCCTGAGCCTTGAAGGCAAGTCCTCCCTCCGTTCCCAGTAGACACCACTGTATATCATAGGGAAGATATCTCAGGATGAGAGCTAGGGCCACAAGTCAGGCTGCAGTGCAGTTCCTTGAGAACTAAAGCAAAAATTCAAGCAAAAATTAGAATGATTAGGCCGGGCGAGGTGGTTTACACCTGTAATCCTAGCACTCTGGGAGGCTGAGGCGGGTAGATTGCTCGAGTCAGGAGTTCAAAACCAGCCTGAGCAAGAGTGAGACCCCGTCTCTACTAAAAATAGAAAGAAATTAATTGGCCAACTAAAACTATATAGAAAAAAATTAGCTGGGCATGGTGGCACATGCCTGTAGTCCCAGCTACTCGGGAGGCTGAGGCAGGAGGACTGCTTGAGCCTAGGAGTTGGAGGTTGCTGTGAGATAGGCCCACACCACGGCACTCTAGCCTGGGCAACAGAGTGAGACTTTGTCTCAAAAAAAAAAAATTAGAATGATTAATGAACCAAATGCTTTGAGGAAAGTAACATGCTATAGTAAAAATGACATGGAACACAGTGTCAAAGTGACTTAGCATTGAGTCCCAACACTACCATTCTGTGGAATAAAGCTATGAAGTAAAACAAGACATGATTCCTCCCCTTCCCTAAAGGATTCTAGTAGTGGAGGTAGTTAAGCAAATGAATGGAGACCCAATTTGCATTAATAGAGTTCTGACCAGTTAAGAGCTATTCTCTTGAATCTCCTCTGCCTGACAGAATGGTAGAGTAAAATTCTGTTGCGAATATTCAAACACAAGGATTAAAGAGCACTCCAGTAGTTCCTTTTATAAATGCGATTCCTGTCTTAAACTGCAGTGGTTAGCACAAAATGGTCCAGACCTTGATGGTATTTGGCAAGCAGCGCCCTGAGTCACCAGGCACTTAGGACATGGGCTGCGAACTCCCAGAGGACCCAGACACCAGCCATAGTGAAAGAAGCCTGCCAGCTCCCTCTACTGGCTGTCGTACAACAACATTGCCTGCAGTTTTTGCTCCTGGCAGAGTCATGAAACCAACCATTTAATGCAAATTAGTAAAACCTATGGAAAGTTACTATTTCTTGAATAGTAATTGCTAGGTCCATATTTGAAGGGAAAAAGATATAGGGATTAGGAAGCAATACACCAGCCCAGACAAATAGCTGAAAAGAGGCCTTAAGAATCAACCATTAAGGGCGGGGCATGGTGGCTCACGCCTGTAACTCTAACACTTTGGGAGGCTAAGGAAGGCAGATCACCTAGGGCCAGGAGTTCGAGACCAGACTGGGCAACATAGAGAGAGACCCCTGCCTCACAGAAAAAT